TGATAGCATCATGGTAGACGGTAAAGAGCTTGAGACTGTTAACAGCTTTAGTTTGCTTGGCTCCACAATCAACACTCTTGGCACCAGAAGCCAGGAAATTAAAATACGTATTACATTGGGGAAGTCTGCTGTCAGAGACCTATCCAAAGTACTGAAGGACAATGATGTCAGTCTGGAGACTAAGGTGCATCTGATACAGACTGTGGTCTTTGCAGTCACTTGTTATGCATCAGAGAGCTGGACAATGACTAGGGATGATAGAAGGAGAATTGATGCCTTTGAGCTGTGGCGTTGAAGAACAGTATTGAATATACCATGGACTGCTAAGAGAACAAACAGGTTTGTCCTGGAAAGGGTGAAGCCGGGCTGCTCCTTAGAGGCAAGGACTCTGAAGCTTTGTCTGACATACTTTGGGCATACTGCAAGGTGGGACCAGTCCTTGGAGAGGGGCATTATGCTTGGGAGGGTGGAGGGACAGCACAGAAAGGGAAGACCCTTGAGAGATGGATTGATTCAGTGACTGGGGTAATGATGGTAGGTGTGTTAGAGACAGTGAGATTGGCACAGGAAAGAGCAGAGTTTAGGGCTACTGTACATAGGATTGCTATGAGTCGCAGGCGACTTGATGGCACATAACAACAACATCATTTGCGTTTCCCGCTTTCCCCACTAAACCTGAGAACAGAAACACAAGGTTGATTTTTTTCCCCTTTTGTGTTATCAAATAACAAAGGACTTAGTTCACTGCAGGTATATATTAAGCATCAGTGAATTAATACATCATTAATGAAATTGATTTATGAGGGGTCATTGACAAGGACAATTAATGTATGAAAAGGTGAAAGTAGAAAATAGTAACAAATGAATAACCGTCTATACAGCTCCACAGGAATGTTTTTATTTACTGTCATCTGTTTATGGCCAAATAAAAAGTCATGTCAGAACATGAATTTGTCTTGGTCAACCACACATGAACAGCTTCAGGGGCATCGCTGCACTGCCACTGAACCTTATGATCCGTGTCAACAATGCCACGCATAATTAGAGTTGGTGGGTACTTGTTTCTTTCAGGATTCTTAAACTATGGCTGCCTTACCTATGAAGGATATTTCTTCCTACATTGGTCCAACATCACAATCACACTGTTTGGTTAAGCTGCGCTTTAACAACTGCTTCCATTCCATTTTAATAAAGCCTGCATTATGTGTGTTACTGTGTCCAAGATTCTAGGGATAAAACAGGGTCTCTGCCCTCAAGAGCCATAAAGGGCTTCTTTGAGAATAGTTGACGTGCCAGCACTTAATCAGTCACAGGCCAGATGTATTCATCATAAGTTACAAGGCATTGACCCATTTCTTTTAATGTCATTTAAAAGTGATTGAAATATCCCAGAGCTTCATTAGTCAAATTAGAAAGGATAGACAGGAGGGATCTGCATTCTCTCAAGCAGACTCCCTCCTCACACTTTATCATTGTTTCCAGATACATAATAATGGTCATATTAATTCTAATAGGAAATGCAATTTATTAGAAAATGTTTATGTACAAGGATTGGACCTTTACATAAATAAATATTTCATTTAGTCTCCAAATGTGAAGGCTGGGACCGTCTTTTGTCACACTTGTATCCTCATTGTTAATACAGTGAGAAAGTGTAACCAGTTCTCATAAAATGCATTTGGAAAGTACAAAGGAAGATGTTATTTAAATGAGAATTATATTGTAATTAAATGCTAAACACTGTGACACTGCTGTGTCAAATGCAATAATGGTTATTCATGTTGGACAGTGTTTAGTGGAGCTCCCAGATTAAAACAGGCTTGAAAGCAGGAGTGGCATCCACTTCTGAAATAGCTTGCTTCAGGAAAATTCTATGAACTTAGAGAAATGATGAAATTTATATAACTGTTCAGGTCTTTCTTTCATAGGGTTGCTATGAATCATCTATGACTTGATGGCACTTAACAACAACAACAAAGCACATATAGTACCAAGGCCACTGATACTCTGTAGAAGTCCTTGATTAACTTTTCTACTAAATATTATCACAGGCCTCATTCCCTTTCTCTGCTTTATTTTTCAGCTTGTACTAACGAACCTTTCACATCCTATTTATTTTGCTTATTTGTTTCTTAAATGTCTTCTGACTAGAATGCAAGCTCTCTGAAGAGAGAGATTTTGTTTTTAACCTGATTTGTTCATTGTTCAGCAATCAGTTCCTGGGACAAAGGTGGTGCTCAATATGAATTTGTGGATTGAAAGAATGAAGACAGAAATGGAAGCCTCGAGAGATTAAGGGTTCCATTTAGTTACTAAATGACTAAACCTTATCAAAAATGTCAACAGCACAAACCTTATTTCTATGAGATTATACAAGCACTCATTCTCCTGCACCTTCTTCCATAAATCTTAGCACTAAGTATCTATCCCTCACACAGCTTTTCACTATTATATGCAATAATCCATTGCAATGGCCACACAGAACTCACAGACAACACCCATTACTGTGGGATTCATAAGAAAAATTAACAGGTACAACTCAAGTTGGAAAAACTGAGAATACAATTCTTCAATCAGGATTGTCCACTCTCAGTCATACTTTTTGGGCTCTGCTCTGCCCTCAGGCAAGTGGTAAAAATCTCTTTTCTGATGATGATGCACAGAGAAGAGAGTGAGATTTTTGATGATTTCAGTTTGCTTTGTTCCACAATCAGCAGTCTTAGCACCAGTAGTCAGGAAATCAAAAGAGGAACTGCACTGAGAAAGTCCATTGTCAGGGACCTCTCCAGAGTACTGAAAAGCAACAATGTCAGTCTGGAGACTAAGGTGTACTTGATCCAGGCCATGATCTTCACAATTACTTGCTATGCATCTGAGAGCTGGACAATAACTAAAAATGATATAAGAAGCATCAACGCCTTTGAGTTGTGGTGCCGGAGAAAAGTGTTGAACACACTACGGACTGCCAGAACAAAAAGGTCTCTCTTGATTTAGAGGGTGAAACCAAGCTGCTGCTTAGAGGCAAGGATTTTGAAGCTCTAAATCACAGACTTTGGGCATGTGTTCAGGAGAGACAAGTCCTTGGAGAGGCATATTATGCTTGGAAGGGTGGAGGAACAGTGCATGAGAGAAAGACCCAAGATGAGATGGATTGACTCAGTGACAGGAGAAACAGGATTAGGTCTGTCAGAGACGACGAGATTGGCTCAGGATAGAGCAGGTTTTTAGAGCTAATATACAAAGAGTCGTTGAGTCTCAGCTAACTTGATGGCATATAACAGGAACAAAATATAATAAGGCAAAAGGCAGACACCAAAGAAACAGTTCATTAAAAACTTAAACGGAATAAAGTTGCATAAAGAAGAAAATGTAATGATAGCACATTAACTATGTGAGCCAATCTCATCATCATTGACAGACCTAATCCTCTATCTCTTGTTACTGAGTCAATCCATCTCATCCTGGATCTTTGTCACATGCACTGTCCCTCCACTCTTCCAAGCATGATATTCCTCTCCAAGGACTGGTCCCCCTTGGCCACATGTGAATGATGCTTATTCATTGTTCTGTAAAAGCCACTTATAAATAAGCTAAACAGAGTAATATGACTATGAAGAAGATGAGGAAGAGTTACGTGTAAAGCAATCAAATCAAGGGAAAAGAAGATATAGTGAAAAGTGTTTATATATGTAGACAAGCAATGTGGATAAAAGGTTGGCAGGATACAATTGCTTTTTATTATAAGCACCTTATAACTTCATTTTCTAAAAACAAAGTGCTGATGGAGAAAAATTCAGGTAGAGAAAAGAACCCATTTCCCAGTAGAATTCTGTGGTTTTACATATTATCTTCTATGTCAAATTGTTTTTGTTAGCAGTCATACAGTTGATTGCAACTCTGGGTGCTCCAGGTGACAGAGTAGTTTTCTAGACTTCAAGTTACATGCAAGCAGATCACCAGCTCTTATGCCTACAGAGTGACCTGAGGATTCAAATAGTCAGTCCTTTGAGAGCTTAACTGTTTGCACCACCAAGGCTCCTAATGTCAAATTCAAATGTCCAAATCCTTGCTGACTAGTAATTATAAAAAGCCATGCTGATTTGTCAGATTTTGAATGGGCCTATTTAAAGGAAGCATTTTAGAGTAGTATTCCATTTCTTGCAAAGAGGTGGATCCAGATTGCAACAGTAAATGATTTCTTAAACCTAGAAGGAAACAACATAGATGAAACTAAGAGAATTCCATTTTGACCTAGGACTCAATTAAAATGTATTGAACTCTAATGACTGGGCTGCTTATGGATTCCTTGCATCTCAATGACAATTTAGAAGTCAGCCAAAAGAAAAGTAAAAAATTATTAATAGTCCTTGCCTTCTCTTAACCTCAAGCTTTTTAGCAGCTAGAGTTTTTATATTGTTGGGCAGAAATGTTTAACACAAGCATCTGGGATTCATTCATGTCAACTTTTGCTCTTTAAGAAGGATAGCCTTCAGTTTAAATTCTTTTAAAGTCAGCTTCACAAGAAATGTTCCCTTCCTCCTTCCCATTCATTGCCAACACTCCTTTTCCAACTTCAGCCTGCTCTAGGAAATTGAAAAGGAATCTCCTCCCTACACTCCATCCTCTGTATTTCACATGAAAAGGCTTCAGGACAATCCCTAGGGCTAAAGGCCTCTCCAGGACCCTGAAACCCACTTCCAGATGTGAGCCTCCGAGGTAGACGGGCGAATTCAGACTTCCAGCCCTTTTCCAGATGACAGCCTCCAGAAAGACGAGTGTGACAAAAACCTAATCCTCTGAAGCCAGATGGGGGCCAAAGGGCACATGAATAAATTGAAACATCCTCTATGTCAACCAAATGTAGTGTCCTAAGAGATACCCCCCCTTCTTCTGATACTCCTCCAAAAACATGCCAATTAAGTCTCCAGAGAGCTAAGAACCTCCATATCATTGTTCTGTCTCTTTTTTTTTCTTTTGCTGTTCTCCATACTGTTTCTCACCTGGGTTAAAGCGCTTAGCTCTGGGCACACTTTGGTGATCAGATTATCCTGCAGAGCAAGAGTGTTAAGGCCAGACAGCTTTCCCAGGGTTGATGGCATCTTCACAATTTTCTTTCCATTGAGGGTAACAATTTTAGTGTTTTTACCCCCTTTTAAGGCTCTTACTAATAATCTCTCACTCATGAGTTTGGGAGAGAAGTAGAAAAAATGAAGCGAGTTACCTTTATAGGTGAGCATTCTTAGAACTAATGATTCATGAAAACACAAAGATTCTAAAATCCACCATGGTAGCCAACATCAGATGGACTTAGCAACAAGGCAGTAGGTGATTCCTGTTTGGGGCAGGAAATATGTTGTGTGGTGGTGGCGATAGTTGTTGTGTACCATCGAGTCTGAACTAACCCATAGCTGAGCCTCCAGGGGGTTTTCAGAGGCAATTAATCACACAGGAGGAGACTGCCCATCTTTCTCCCATTGAGCAGCTGGTGGCCTCAAACTGGCCTTCAGGATTGCAGTGCAGCTGATCACCAAACCACCAGAGTCTCTAGGAAATAAATTATGTAAGTTTAGGGTATCCAGAGATAGGAAGCAATGTCAAAGACTAATGAAATTATGTCAAAACGACACTGAAACCTATTCCTAGAGACACCTGCTGGCCTAACACGGGGAAACTATGAAGATAGAAAGTATAGTTCACTGGATTCTAGAAACGATAAAAAGATCTAAAAGTTCATGGTAGAGTTGTCACTTACAAAAATAAACTAATTGATCCCTTTAGATAAAGCACTAATGTTTTAGTCTGAAAATTGGCTTAAAAAATCAACACATTATTGTCCCTTTCTAGTACAAAGTATGTTATTATTGTTATTAGGTGTCATCAAGTTGAGGATGACTCATAATGACCCTACAAACAAAAGATCTGAATCCTGTTCTATCCTGTGCCATCCTCACACTTCTTGACATACAAGAGCCCATCGCAGCAGTCACCATGTTAATCCACCTGGTTGAGGGTCTTCCTCTCCTTCACTGACCCTCCACCCTTCCTATCATCAGATTCTTCTTCAAGGAATAGACCATTGTAGCAACATGCCCAAAGTATGTGAGGCTAAACCTCATCAATCTTGCCTCCAAAGAGCACTCTGGCTACACTCTTTCCAAGACGTATCTGTTCATTCTTTGTGCTTTCTTGACTATGCAAAGGCATTTGACTATGTGGATCATAACAAGTTGTGAGAATGAGAATCCCAGAGGACTTGATTGTGTTCATTCAGAACCTATATGTGCACCAGGAGGCTGTTGTGCAAATAGAGCAGGGGAACACTGCATGCATGATTTAAAATAGAGAAGGGAGTGTGTCAGGATTGTATTCTCTCTTCATATCTATTCAATTTGTATGCTGAGCAATTTATTCAAGAAGCTGTAATCCACGAAGAGGAGCATGGTATCATGATTGGAGGGAGACTCATCAACAACCTGCATTATACAGATGGCTCAACCTTCCTTGCTGAAAGTGAGGGAAGCTTGAAGCACTTGTTGCAGAAGATCAAAGAATGCAGACTTAGGTATAGATTTCATCTCAATGTCAAGAAAACAAAGATTCGTACCACTGGACTGATAGGCAATGTCGTTATGGATGGAGAGGAGTACAAACTATAGTTAGGTATTAAAAGTCAACCTAGTGCGACAGTAGTTAAGGGCACATCAGCTAACCAAAAAGTTGGTGACTTGAACCTAGCACTCCACAGAAGAAAAGATGTGGCAGTTTGCTTCCCTAAAGATTACAGCTTAGCAAACCCTAGTGAGTGGTTCCACTCTGTCCTGTGTGACCACTATGCATCAGAATCAACAGCAAAGGCTTTGGGCTTGCAAGTCCGTTTAAATAAATTATTAATTAAGCTTTTATTCCCAGTTCTGAAGCTAATACATGATGAAGATAGGTCTTTTGAAATTAGCATTTTTGCAAATCCTAATGAAATAATTGATCTACTCAAAGATTTTACCTGGATGGATAAAACCATTAGGAGAAAGGGTGATGAAAATATTTACCAGTAAGAAATTAGTCTAGGGAGCTCTGGTGGCCTAGTGGCAAGAAGTTGCACTGCAATCCCAAAGGCATGCAGTTCAAATCTGCCAGATGCTTTGCTGGAAAAGGAGGGGCAATTTCCTCCTGGACCAGTTGGATCTGATTTGATGGTACACACACACAAAATAGTAAAATAAAAATTAAAAAAAGAAATCAATCTAATAATTTAAAGTGCAAAGCAATTTTAATATCATTAAAGTTTAAATAACCCACATGCTATAAACCTCAGGGGAGAACACTGGTGACCGAGTGGTAAGGATTCATGCTACTAATTTAAACGCATATAGTTCAAATCCACCAGCTGTTCTGCAGGGGGAAGATGGGCAAACTCCTGTGTGATTTACAGCCTCTGAAAACCCACTGGACGTCTTAACTCAATGGCACACCACAACAGCATGAGATGATGCAATAAAAAGTGCACACCACGACCTGTGAATGTTCACAACAAAAATTGCTGTGAATCCCATAATCTTTGTATATCTAAGTGTATTTACAGGAAACATGAGTATTAGAAAATAAGTAAAAATTCATCTGAACAAAGCAGTCAACTATATCCACACTGTGGAGGATTTTATAGGCCAAATGACACAAGGTTAAAAAAAAATAAATAAACGGCACAAAAATAGAGGAGAGAAACTGGTGGAATAAGCAAGACCATCAAGTGACCAGATTTAATGAATGGGCTTTGATCAGTTTCTATTTGAACAAAAATGCCCTGGACACAATCAGGGAAATGTGCTCACGGACTAGTTATTATACATTATTATTGGGGGTTTTTAAACATTGTTGTTGTTGTTGTTGTTATGTGCCGTCGAGTCGTTTGCGACTCATAGCGACCCTATGCACAACAGCCCTAAACCCTGCTCTATCCTGCGCCAAACGCACCGCCTCTGATTACCCATCCCGATTACCCCAGTCACCGAATCAATCCATCTCATAGAGGGTCTTCCCCTCCTGCGCCGTCCCTCCACCCTCCCAAGCATGATGTCCCTCTCCAAGGACCCGTCCCTCCTGGCAACATGTCCAAAGTATGTCAGATGAAGCCCCAGAATCCTTGTCTCCAAGGAATAGCTTGGTTTAATCCTCTCCAAAATGAATCTGTTTGTTTTCCTGGCAGTCCATGGTACATTCAGTACCCTTCTCCAGCACCACAGCTCAAAAGCATCCACTCTCCTTCTGTCCTCCTTAGTCATTGTCCAACTCTCTGATGCATAACAAGTGATTGCAAATACCATGGCCTGTATCAAGCACACCTTAGTCTCCAGAGAGACACTGTTGCTCTTGAGTACTTTAGAGAGGTCCCTAACAGCAGACTTTCCCATCACGATACGCTTTTTGATTTCCTGACTGCTGGTGCCAAGAGTGTTGACTGTGGAGCCGAGCAAACTGAAGCTGTGAACACTCTCAATCTCTTCGTCATCCATCCTGACGCTGCCAATTGGTCCAGTGGTGAGAATCTTTGTCTTCTTGACATTAAGCCTCAGTCCATACTGAAGGCTGCAGTCCTTGACCCTTCGCAGCAAGTGCATGAGGCCCTCCTCAGTTTCAGCAAGCAGGGTTGTGTCATCTGCATAATGCAGACTGTTAATAGATCTTCCACCAATCCTAATTTAAACATAGGATTTTAAAAATGCTCTAGTGGCTAAGAGATAAGGGGTTGTGCAGCAAACACAAAGGGTTACCGCTCACTTCCACCAGCTACCTTGTGGGAGGAAGACAGGCATTCATCTTCCATGTGATTTACTCCCTCCGAAAACCTTTGGTGTCCCCTCAGACTCTGTAGTACAACAACAATCGAAATATGGCAGCAGTGTGGTTTTTCTTGTTACTTTTTTGTTTTAATGCTGTTATTAAGTGTCAGAAAATCAGTTCAGAGTAATCCCAGCGTGACACTGCTTCACACTGAATCATCCTCATTATCTTTAAGCACCAAGAAGCCAAAGCAAAAGGAAGAAATCAAGAAGTTAAGGAGCTGAAGAGATTTCAAAGGGCTTCTAGGGAAGACAAGGGAAAAAAATTATAATGAAATGTGCAAGGAGCTGGAGTCAGAAAATTAAAAGGGCTGAACTTGCTCAGCATTTCTTAAACTGAAAGAACTAAAGAATAAATTCAAGCCATGAGTTGCAATGCTTAAGGATGCTACGGACAGAATATTAAATGATTCAAGCATTAAAAGCAGGTGGAAGGAGTATACAGAGTCACTGTACCAAAAAGAATTGGCGGGCACAGAAGTTCAAGAAACACATATGAAAAAGAGGCAGTGGTGATGAAGGAGGAAGTGCAGCCTGATCTGAAGCACTGAACAAAAAATAATGAGGAATGACATTTGAGAAAACGGCCACGGTGGGCTGTGACACAGGTTCAGGTTTATGACATTGGCTATCTAGGAAGGAAAAGGAGATGGATTTGACAAACAAAAGTGGGCTGATCACTGTGCTGTACGGGTCATCCTCATAGAAAGTCATCATCCAGAGTTTTCCCAGAAACCAAAATCCAATCCATTCGCCAGGGAAGTTTTTAAATTGCTAGTCTTGGGGACAGCAGCAGTCTGTGGATTCAACAGAGGACAAGGAACTTCAAGTTGAATGCTAATCAGCTGGAGCTTTTGATAAAGTATGGAAACTTTTTTAACAATTTAGTCAACTGGCAATATCAGTAAAACAACAAGAAAGAATACCATACTATTCCACAGAGATTGTGTGGGAAATATTAAACTAATGATTATACGTTCCTTTGGAAGCAGCAAGTGCTATAAACATGCTTAAATATAGTAATGTAGAATCTCAAGGATTTTAAAATAAACACCATCAGGAATTTTATGAGTAGAACTAGCTGCATTTTTTAACACTGCGTGATACAAAAGTAGCCAGTTCCCACCGACAGTGCAGCTATGGTGACTTAGTGGTCAGGAGTCCATTGTCAACTCAAACGCATGCAGCTTGGATTCACCACCAGCTTTGTGGGAGAAAGATGGAAAATCTCTTTTGTGATTTGCTCCCTCCGAAAACCTGCTGGCAGGTCAGCTACAAGTTGGTTCTAACTTGACAGCACCTAACAACTACTATGACAGTGACCCCTCATAGAATATAAAAAAATATTGAAGGCTGGGGAAAAGTATAAAAGGGAGTTAAAAGCCAGATGTCATGGAATGAAATGTGTTCCTCAAACTATGTGTCGTAAATCTTTTACCTGTGGCTTACCTTCCATTTGAGAAAAAGTTCTCTGGTCTGTGAATGGCACAGACCAGAGTCTGTGTCAATCTCTTATAAACAGATAAAAAGATCATTAGCCAAGCAGAGATGGAGGGGGAGAGGGAGGGCAAGGAACGTGGAGATTTTAGGGAATCAAGAAACAAAAGCTAAAGAGACAGGGTCTTGTTGGTAGCAACAGAAAGCCTGCTTTACAGCAAACTCAAAACTTAGTGTCAAGTCAGTTCTGGCCCAGCAATTCATCTGGTTTCCCAGACTGTAAACTGGAATGGGAAGAGACTGCCCATTTTCCTCCTGCAGAGCTGAATATGTAGACTTTTGGTAGGCAGAGAAAACACCCTATGGACTTAAGCCACCAGAGTTCCCTTCTCTAGAGCAGTCACCCCGAATGTGGACTTGAAGCCTCCTTAACCGTGAGACAGATTTACTAAAGTCATCCATTTGCAGGAAGTTCTGTAGTAGTATTGGAAAATACATACAGAATTTGGTCGGAAAGAGGAGGGTGCTGCTTGAACAGATACTTTAGACGTGGAAGTGGTTTTGGAATTTGGTAATTGGTGGAGGTTGGACTATTTTTAAGCTCTGGTGGCCTAGTGAAAAGAAACTATGCTGCAGTCCCAAAGGCAAAGGGTTCGAATCCGCCACCTGCTCCATGGGGGAAGGACGAGCAATCTTCTTCTGTGCCATTAACTGCCTCTGAAAACTTGCAGGAGGGAAAGTGATGGTTTGGTTCCAACTCAACAGCACACAATCGTGGAGGAACCTTTCTCCATACCTATTCAGTCTGTATGCTGAGAAAATAATTCATTAAAAGTTGGGTTCTATGAAAAGAATGTGCCATCATCAACAACCCGCATTATGCAGATGACACAAACTTGCTTGCTCAAAGTGAGAACTTGAACACTTGCTGCAGAGTATCAGTGAATATGGATTATATCTCAACATCAGGAAGACAAAGGTCCTCACCCCTGGGTCCACACAACATCATGATAGATGGAGAAAGGATTAAAACTAACAATTATTTCATCTTACTTGGATCAACAATCAACATTCTTCGTAACAGAGTCAGATCAGATGTATTGCTTTGGGAAAGTATGCTGTCAGAGACTTCTTCAAAATGCTGAAAAGCAATGTCAGTTTGAAGACTAAAGCGTGCCTGATTCAGGCCATGGTTTTTTCAATCACTTGATAAACATCTGAAAGCTGGATAATGAATAAAAATTAGAGAATTGATGCCTTTGAATGTTCATGTTGGGGAAGAACACCGAATATCCCAAGAACTGCCAAAAGAATGAATGGGTTTATCTGGGGAAATGTGCAGCCAGAGTGTTCCTTGAAGGTAAGGATAATGAAGCTCTGACTCTCACACTTTAGACATAGTGCTTAGAGAGGCTATTCTTGAGAAGGGATTCTGCTTGGAAAGGTGGAGGTCAGTGAAATGGAAGATGCTGCCAATGAGATGGATTAACACAGTGACTGCAATGGGCTCAAGTATGTTGGAGATGATGAAGATGGGAACCTACAGGTACTTGGTTCAAATCTATCAGCTGCTCCCCAGAAAACTAGGCAATCTCCTCCCATGTGATTCACCACCTCTGAAAACCCGCTGGAAGATCAGCTATGAGTTGGTTCCCAGTTGATGATATACAATAACAGGCCTTGAAATATTCTGCCAATTCATTTTCCCTACATAAACTTTCATCATTCTAAAAAGTGCTAAAGCTTCTCTACCTGATTTTTAAGAGCTTCAGCTTAAATGGCTATTATTTTACTATCTACCTCTACTCTGTCTGGACATGCTACTCTTTCTCTTTTGGGGGGTGGACATACTCCTCTTACATTTATTCTAAGGTCCCTAAATGTAAAAATGTGTGACTGTAATCTCAATAATGTATCAGGGAAAAAAAAAGGCTCGATAAAATTCTGAAGGGGACTTTTATGTGTAAGTTTGAAAATCAATAAAGAATGACAATTTGAACAAATGTGCTGATTTAATTTATTCAGTTTTTATTCTTTTTTGGCAAACATCAGATAATGGGAGCAAAATTATATTGCTCACTATAATTATACTTTTTTGCTTTATGTAATTTGTAAACATATTGTGGACAAAATTCTTGGCTAAAGACATACTGCCCAATTGACATACACTTTTCTGAGTTAGAAGAAAGCTTATAAAGCTTCCATCAGGTCATCATCACACAGCAAACTAAATTAGTATATGCTGCCTTTAAATTAATATCTGACATTTTTATAGACATCAAGTTTAGGCCACAGCTAAAATGTTCATCCGATGTTTTATGATAAAACACAGATCATCCATATAAATCTTGTTTATAACCACACTGGCTTTTTTAGAAAAAAAAAAAAAAACTTAAATAAAAAACTATTTAAAATCCAATACATAATTTCTATAACCAAGAAAATTCAGCTTATTAAAAATAGCTCCGAATAAGTTATTTTAGAATACTTTAGATGAAGATGGAGACTTTATAGTACCTCGGTTTCATAATATATTTTTTATATTATTTCTTAACACTTATATTTTATTTTTAAAGTAATAGACTACTTCAACAAAAACGCAAGGGTTTAGTATTTTACTCTTTCATTTCCTTACAAAGTTCAGACCTCAAAATCATTCAAATCAAGGACTAGAGAACAGGCAGCCTTCAGCATGAAATTTGTTTGGGAGATAGGATGTTTTTTCCATTTCAACTGGAATGCCTTAAGGCAACGTGCACTTGTTCACCACAGCCCCTGCCAGAGTCCTACATGCAGAGAAAGGGGAGACTGACATCTCTTTTTAAAAGGTATAAATACCATGTTTCTGACATAAAGTTGCTACATTTGTGGAAGAATTCAAGTATTATAAACTTGATGGTAAGTTTTGCTACTTCTTTCTCATCTGGAAAAAATAGGTCAAACCTAGAAGGGCTCATTTCCACAGACAGTACGGGCACATCTGTGTACATGTATACCATCTTCATAGAAAGAATACTGCTATGAGTAACATGAACTCAGAGCTAGATTAATCAGTTCTCCCTAAACCTACTGCATACTCATTGTATTATACAAATCTTGACTCTTATTAGACATTATCTTTCAATTTTAACCATACATTGCAACAAAAATTCTCAAATAATTGAGTTAAATGGAAGGTGCTATTAATAAGCCCAACTAAACAGTAAGTACAAATTTTCTCCTAAGATAAGCGCTTATAAGGCAAATTGGAAAAGAAGAATTTTGATGATCCGGGACCTTGTAACAGTGCAATTCTCTCAACTTGCACATGGTAGAAAATGAAAGAGACCATGAACTCCCTTAGTGGAAAGGCCACAAGGAAAGCAAACAAGCTGAAAGGAATAACCGAAAAACACAGAGAATATAAAAATGTACAGTTATAAAAATAATTAAGAGATCTTGGTACTAATCCTCATCTTCAGTTTAAGAAACAAGGAATAAATAATAAACTGGAAAGATACAGTAATCTGTTTGGGATTTTTGTTTTTTTTTAAATGCACATAAAAAACTATTAATTCTCTGGAGGTTTAGATCTGATAGGAAACAACTTCTTGTTTTTGACTTTGTCTTTTCTTTAAACCCAACACTTGATTCCCACTTGAATAAATAGTATAACTTTCTTCATTATTAAACCAAATTTAAGATGAACCTTGATGAGTTTAAGTCATTTCATAAGATACAAAGATCGATTCATTTATAATCATATTTGCAGTTATCATGCTCACAATACTGCAATGGCAAGAGACTGAGTCACTTCATGTCTTCCAGAAAAATGACACCAAAACCATTACTGAAACATTTTGTAAGGGGAGGAGGGGGGTGAACAAAATTGAAATTTATTCCAATACAGAACAAAATGTCCAAGGTCTTAAATTAATAATAATATAAGTGAATAGGGTACTATCGGTGAGTGTTATTGAATAGGGTAGTATCTTGGTTCTCCAACGTGGATTTTACCGCTTTTTTCTAAACACCACTAAAGGGACATCTGTGACACATTTCTGAAAAACTGTGTCACTAGCTTTGTTATGAAACTCTTCTTAAGGTAGTTGTGTTTTTCTGTTACATTTGAACCAATCCAACACGTGGGATGAATACTCAGATGGCACAGTGTACACAAACAGAACCGTGTAACATTTTGTAAACTAGCTGCACTTTTCCGTAGCTTTGTTCATCAACTGTGAAACAGAATTGTAATGTTCTCCTAAGCCATATGCATGCCTCATATACCTAAAAAGAAAGAAAGAAATTGACCATTTTGATGAAAGTAATTCATTGCATCTAAATATTTGCAAAAAATTAAATTTAAAAATTATTAAATGTTTCTTTTCTAAAAAACTAAGCACTTTAAATAAGTCACTCCACAAAGGTTATCATTCAATAGACTACATTAAAATATTACTTAAAAGATAAACATCAGGGGAGAAGGGGATTGAAGAGAGGGTCACACAATTTGATGGGTGGAGGGAGAGACTGGTAAAAGGGGAAAGATCTGGTGTGAAAACTAATGTATATGAACTTAATGAACTTTGTATGTAAACTAGTATAAAATAAATTTTTTTTAAAATATATAAACATATTTGAAAATTATCAGCAATCAGTAATAGCTGATTCAATACTCTGATTCTGCTGACTTTAAATTAGGTAAAACACTATCAGCATATAGAGAAAAAAGGGAAGGCAGCGATGCTAACAGCTCAATAAGCTTCCACTCTTCTCTAAACCCAAGCCATCAGTGAATGCTCCATTAGGCTTTATTAATAAGTACCAACACAGACAGCGAGCCACACACACTTTATTTCAGAGAAGAGCTCTTTATTATATAAGTATTTTCATGGTATGAAGAAAATGAACTCTCTAGGGTGAATAAAAAATTGGGCTACAGGAATACATTTTAATTGTTTTACTTATTGACACTTTCCTCATTATTAATGTCAAGCAGGATAGTATGTTCCCAAGTCACAAAACTGTAATCTTGAGAAATAAATTTACTGCTCAGAAGTCACTAGATATTCAAACAATCTAAATCACTTATTTTGACAATGCTTTATATAATTACTTTTAATATAGCAAAATTAATTCACTTGAAGACAGTTTTATTCTTCAATAAAAAAAAATACTCCTTTTTGTTATTAATGAGAAATAAAACAGGAAAACGTCCTGGGTACTTACACAAGCATTAATGGTTTCTTTTGATATTCTTCACCAACTACAATAGGAGGAGAATCGGCCTGGATTACTTCTATCGGTGTTTGTAAAATATGAGACAGTGCTCTAAGCTTCAGAAGAAAGAACAATATATCAGGAAAGAAGATAAAACTGTACTTTATTCAAGTTTAAATTACCTAAGTAAACACAAACAGGCCAACGAGGCAGAGGAGGAATTGCTGTGCTCAGCTGACCACTGAGCACCAAGAACATCATACGTTGGGTGCTTACAAGCTGCGTTTGTTGATTAGTGTCTAAATAAATAAATAAAAACACGGTTTTGCTGAATAAACAAATAGTGTTTATTAGGTCAAATGTAAAGGTTTCTCAAGGTTTGGCTGCCCAACAACTCTGAAGAACTATCAGTGCCATTATTAATGAAATGAGATGATGGGTAGATCTGAGTTCATTATTAGAGCTCTGAACTTTTGAATATGCTTGAAATTCTCCATAATAAAAAGTCACATACTATATCAAACACCACACTAAGTTACAATTCAGAAAGGGACAGGACTCAACAACAGGTTTGGTTTTGATTTTTTAAAAAGTTCTTTTGGTCAAGGTTGAAAGCCACGGCTATAAAATTCTTCTAGGATAGATATGCATATAAATAGTACTACTGTTCAAGATATTCCCACCTGATTTCAAGTAATATAATACAAAATAAAATTAGAGCTTATTGCCTATGAATTAAGGCTACTAATGAATATTAATAACATGGTTTAAACTTAAAATTACCAAGCATGCTGAGCACTTTATAAAGGATTCACTTTCTCTGAGATATCATTTCAATTCTTTAGGACCTGAACGGCAAGTAAAGTTAAGAAAAGGCTTGCTCAAAGCCAAGCACTAAGAACTAAAATGACCATTTGCTGAGGAAATTTGACTCTAGGATCCAAGTTCACAATCAAATTAGTCATGAGCAGTTCTCAATCAAAGAGTCCTGATCTTTATGATTGATCTATCTGCACAGTTATAAGAACATTTTGTTTGGATCGCATTTCAAATAGGAAATTTTGGGGGGAAAAACTAAGAAATTACATCAGGGAAACTGAAAAAGCTCTATACTACATAATAGCAATTCCATAAGCTCTTTTCTAGAAAGTTGTTAAATGAGCTCTGGGAATTTTAATGTCTCTTATATTTTCAAAAATTATATAAAGATCTCTTTTAAAAGGCTTTTTTTAATTAAAGGAAAGTCTTTTAATATTTGTATTATTTGTAATCCTGTAAGAACTTGCAAGCATCTTCACCCTGAGTGTAGTCAATTATTAAGTTACAATGTAAACTTTCTGCGTCTGAAAGATACAGGCATACAAAATCAATGGCCACACTTCCCCCTGGTGGTTCAGCAGAGGTATAAATACAGCACTACTGAGAAAAGAATTTAAGGAAGATCTCATGTTGTAGTTTGAAAAAGTAGAGTTGTTAAAATGAAATATTTAGTGTAAAAGAACTATGCAAGATTACCAATCAATCTTTATATAACCCTATTAATAATAGCAAAAATGATAGATCCAGTCATCTGGCACATTAGTTTACAAACATCTATGAATGTATTCCCTGCCGTATTTAAAGTTCACAAATACCCTATAGAGTACATACAAGTGTTCTTACCACTCTCAAGGTTAGGAGTAGAAATAAAAGCCATGCTATGAATCTAGGCAATCTAGCAGCCAGGAAATTAGAAGGCATTGCGATGGGAAAGTCTGCTGTTAGGGACCTCTCCAAAGTACTGAAGCGCAATATGTCACTCTGAAGACTAAGGTGCGCCTGATACAGGCCATGGTCTTTGCAATCACTTGTTATGCATCAGAGAGCTGGACATGACTAGAAAAGATAGGAGAATTGATGCCTTTGAGCTGTGGGGCTGGAGAAGAGTATTGAAAACAAACAAGTTCATCCTCGAGAGGGTTAAACCAGGCTGTTCCTTGGACACAAGGATTCTGGAGCTTTATCTGACATACTTTGGACATGTTGCAAGGAGCGAGCAGTCCTTGGAGAAGGATTTGATGCTTGGGAGGGTGGGGGAACAGCACAAAGACCCTCTATGAGGTGGATTGATTCAGCGACTGGAGTAATTGGGATGGGTGTATCGGAGACAGTGAGATTAGACAACACAGAGCAGAGTTTAGGGCTGTTGTACATAGGGTAGTTATGAGTCGCAAGCAACTCGATGGCACATAACAAAAACCAACATGAATCTAAAACTTGATATATCTCTCTTTTGTTCTTTTATTAATAACAGGCTGTCTCATCACTTGTTGGGCTACTTAGGTGTTTTATTTTGTTTTAATAAAACAAAGTCACAGTAATTTAATAGGGCTAAAAAGAAATTCTTGTCTCTAACTAACTGAACACAGTTTTCTGGTATTTCAGTTTTGCTGGAAAAAGTTGCTGTCAAGGACCTCTTCCAAAGTGCTAAAGAGCAAGAACTTTAATTTAAAGAATAAAGTGAGGCAGATCCAAGCCATGTTATTTTCAATTGCTTCCTATGCATCTGAAAGTTGGACAATGAATAAAAAAAGACAGAAGAATCAATGCCTTGGAATTGTGGTACTAGATACACTGTATATCCCATGGATATACTGTATATCCATGGTACACTGTATATCCCATGGACTGTCAAAAGAACAAACAAGTCTGTCTTGGAGCAAGTGCAACCATCATGTTCCTTAGAAGGCAAGGACAGTTTTTGTCTCAGATACTTTGTCAGGAAGGGCCAGTCTATGGAAAATGGCATCATGCTGCAATGGTGAAGGGTCAGAGAGAGAGGAACGCCTTCAACAGGATGGGTTGACACAGTGACTGTAACAATGGACTCAAGCACATCAGAGATGGTGAGGACAGCGCAGAACAGGGCACGGTTCGGATCTGTTGTTCAAAGGGTTACTACCTAACAAAAATAATAACGTATCACTACAGACTTAGAAATTAGGTGATGCATACGATATGGCTTCTATTTTCACATAAAAATATCTTCTATTCCTGATATAACAGAGCATCTACTTCACCAATTTTAATTATTTACAAGTTGAACAACATGGTAAATTTTGCTGTACTTTAGTAAAAGCTTTAAGTCAAATATACTATCAACATAGAAACACTCATGCATATGTACGACTAGCCACGCCAATACAGATCTACCACTGCAGTGTTGTTGTATGCTGTTGAGTTGGAATGGACCTATACCTGACTCTCAAGGATTTTCATAGGCTATTAATCTCATGGGACGAGACTGTCCATCTTTCTCCTCCGGAGCATCTGGTGAATTTGAACCGCATACCTCGGGTTAGCGGTATAACTCTTTGCCCACTATGCCACCAGAGCTCACTTAGTTAAGATAGTGTTTCATTTTCATGAAGTTCATACTTTATTCTATGGCCTAAAAATGTTAACTACTTATTTCAAAGCTACCAGTTAACAAATAGTATTTTTTAAAAGAAAAGAAAAAAGCATCTTTACAGAGAAAGTGGAATCATTTGAAAAGTATGTCAGAAAACAACAGATGGGATTTAGAAATAATTTAACAATTCACAATCACTGTAAATAATTGCAAAACTTACCTCAAGCTGACCTCCCCAGGCAGCTGTGTTTACAACATCATCACAGTACTTTCCAAACTCTTCTGCAAAGAGGACAGATCAGAAAATAGCATTTAATAAGCTTCATAACTCATATTACAATATCTCTTTTATAGTTCCCACAATTCCTGATCAAATTGTCCAAGTTATGAGCATCTTTCTTCCCAACAAGCAACCTGCAGAATTTAATCTATTTCCCAGACCCAAACTCAACTTACCCCAACTTTCCACTACCTTTCCCTTCAAAAGCCAAACAAATCTGTTTCTGCTTCTCTTCTTGGCATGAGGTCCAGCAATCTTAACTATGAAGCAAACTTAATATCCCTCTTTTTATCCCACATAACCACTCCTGAAATTGCCTCTGTACTTCACTATCTTGCCATGATATAAATATATATATAGTGAAGGACTAAAAGAAGCAACTTTACCATAATAAAGTTGTCTGGTGGCACAGTCTGTAGTTAGTGGAACTGCCAAGCCCTCTGGCAGTCTGGATCCACTAGGTTCTTCAAAGGGGAAAGGTGGGCAGTCTCTTCCCATAAAGATTCACAGTTTGGGGAACTCAATGGAGGGTGAGTGCCACCAACTGGAGGATCATGGGTTATTAAGTACATAAAGACCTGGCCTTATACTTTATATGTATGTGTATAAATGATAAAACCAAATTAAGGTTGTGAGCTTAGTTTTTTCCCTTCTAAAATGAGTTCATTAGTTTCCAAAAGTTCATTTTATTGACTTAAAGTTTAAAAAAAAATGGCATAAACATAGAAGTCACAAAAGTAGGAAAAAATAGCTCTTTCTGGTTAGCAAACATGTAGTGAAATTTTCAGCCAAATCAAAAGTAATGTAAATGAGAAGTGAAAGAATTAACTGTCATTTCTGAATCTTGCAATGATAAAATTCAATACCACTCTGGCGGCCTAATGGTAAGAAGTTGTGCTAAAATCGTGAGAGCATGCAGTTTGAATTTACTAGCTGCTCTGCAGAAGAAGGATGTGCAATCTCCTCCACTGTGATTTTCTGCCTCTGAAAACCCACTGAAGGGTCAGTTCCAACTCATCAGCACAAAACAACAAGAAGCATAATAAATCGGGTAACCTCTTGCTTTGTGTTAATTCTTCTGAGAAAGCCATTTGATAACAAGCATCAAGTATATGTTTAAGTCTCTCTCTCATTGCTACAGAGCAGTGATCAAATCATGGTTGACTCTCCAGCAGGTTTTCTGAGGCTGTAAATCTCATAGGTGCAAACTGCCCACCGTTCTCTCATGGGGCTGCTGGTAGAAAGAACTACCAGAAAAGCTCAACCTTTGGGTTAGCAGCACAACTCTCTGTGGATGAGGCCACCTGAGCTCCCTGGCAGATAAGTGGATAATGTAAATGTATTTCATTACTAACAAGAAACTCGAGGTTCAAGTCCACTCAGATACATCTCAGAAGACAGGTCTGGAAATCGACTGACAAAAATTTCAACTACTGAAACTTAATGGAATCCAGTTCTACATGTGTCAGCAGGACTCAAAGACAATGACACAGTCTTATATGTGATGCTGCTGTAATGTGCCATGTAGTCAGAGCCGACTCTAACCGACCCTCCAGTGGCGTTTCAGAGGCTGTGAATCACATGTTCTCCTGCAGAGCAGCTGGTGGATCTGAATGGCCTGCCCAGCCCCTTGGCCATGAGGAGTTACATACTATGTTATTTGTAAGTAACAGAAAGTTCTGGATTATGGTGAAAAACTGGCAACAACCTGAAACACTGAAATTAGCAGATACAGGTAAGTAAACCATGAAATATAGTCACAGAAACTGGGGCCATCGGAGAAAGAAATCATAATTTGAAAAATGCTTAATTTTCCTCTTTTCTATTACTTTTATAAAAATTATACAGAAGAATGTAAATACTATACAACATAAAACTCTATACAAAGCATATTAAAATTAAGCTTGGTATGAGAATTTGAGAAAAGTAAGATCACAAAAAGGAACTTCCCAACAGTCTTCAGGTAATTCATAAAGACCTAATCTCAGAGCATGCCAATGCCATAGATTTTTTCAGAAGGAAAAAAGTGTGTAAAAAAGAAAAGAGTAAATCTTAAAAAATGACCAGACTAACAGGACAGGATGAGTCTAGAAGACTCATCTAAGACTCATCTAAGATGATCACTCTGTGATAGTCTTTAAACTATAACCTGAAATCACTTCAGGAAGTTACTTTCCAAATAAATCCATTGGCTCATAAAATAAAGAGTATCAGCCGTGAGTATTGTGACTATAATATATATATTTATGCATACAAAGTTACCTCCACCACTCATCTGTCAGCTGTCATGTAGTGTGGTGGCTTATTATGTAGCTCTGATATTGGAAGCTATACCAATAGTATTTTATCTATCGGCAGGGTCACCATGGTTGACAGGTTTAAGTCAAGTTTCCAGACCAAGACAGGCTAAAAGGCAAGACTGGCTATCCACTTGTGGAAAAAGGAGGCTTTGGAAACCCTGTTGGATACAGCACTGGAATATGAGTTCCTCAGACTGGAAAAAAAGCAGCACGTGACTGGGTAAGGGCTCCTCCAAATAGAGCCTACTGTAATGAGGTGGATAGAATAAAGCTTTCCTTTAACGGAGGACATTCATTTGCTGATAGGCTAAGACTGAACATGAGTAAAACCAAGCTTCAAACATACATTAATAACTAGAATGTGGAAGGTCCAAAGTATGAATCTAGGAAAACTACACATTGTCAAAATGAAATGGAATGCAGAGACTGACATTTAGGCATCAATGAGCTGAGATGAACTGTTATTGGCCATTTTGAGTCAGATAATCATGATCTACTATGACAAACTGAAGAGGAATGGTGTTGCATCCTTCATCATCAAAAATCACATTTCAAGGTCTATCCTGGTACTATCTGTACACATTTAAGGATGACCTGTTAATGGAGCTATTATTCAAATGTGTGCGCGGGTGTGCGCGCACACACACCAATCTTTAAATCCAAAGATGAAAAAATTGAAGATTGTTTTACTTTTGCAAGTGGAAATTGACAGAACATGCACTCAACATGAATTTTTATTAATTAATGACTAGAATGCAAAAGTTGGAAGCAAAGAAGGCAGAACAGTAATTAAAAAATAAAGCCTTAGAACAAATGATAAAATTCTGTACCATCAATCATTATTCATTCCAAATACTATCTCAACATTAAGAAGACAAAAATTAGCCCCTCAGCCCTGGGCCAAGAGGCAATATCAAAAAGGACTGTAATTGTCAACAATTTCATCTTACTTGGATCTACAACCAATCCCCGTGTTACTAGCAGTCAAGAAAATCTGTTTTCAAAGACTTCTTTACAGTGCCAGTAAGCAAGGTTACCAGTTTAAAGACTAAGGTGTGCTTGATCCAACACAAGGTATTTGAAATTGCTTCCTATGTAGCTGAAAGGGAACTCTGGTAGCCTCGTGGTAAGAAGCTGTGCTGCAATCCTGAAGGCATGTGGTTCAAATCCACCAGCTGGTGCATGGGAAGAGGATGGGCAATCACATTCGGGGTGACTTACTGCCTCTGAAACCTGCTGGAGGGTCAGTTGATTTAGTTCCAACTTGAAGATATAAAACAAAAACAACAATAGACATCTGAAAGCTAAACAGTGAATATGGTAGACCAAAGAAGATGGATACCTTTGAACTGTGATGATGGTGAGGAATATAACTCCATACCGTGGACTATCGAAACAACAAACAAACCTGTCTTGAAGAAAGTGCCGCAAAGCAAACGAAACTTTGTTTCACATGCTTTGGGAATGCTGTCAGGAGGGGCCAGCCCTTGAAAAAAACATTATGCTGGCAAAGGTAGAGAGGGCGAGTAAAAAGAGAGGAAGGCCATCAATGAGATATGGTGACACAGTAAATTCAGCAAAGCACTGCAGCAACACACCACAGCGCCAAAGAAATCTGTCAATCTTTTGGGAAAGGATTTCCAAACCAAAACTCACTGCCAAGGAGTTGATGGCGTTGGTAACATGAGTTTTTAATGGCTTCATTTTACTTGGATCCACAACAATAACCATGGAAACAACTCAAGCAATTAAAAGACATAATACATTTGGCAAATCTGTTGTCAAGAATTCCTTTTGAGTGCTAAAGAGCAAGAACGTCATTTTAAAGACTAAGGTATATATGACCCAAAGTTGAATTGAAAAAAAAGAATTAATGCCTTTGAATTGTGGTGTTTGCGAAGAGTGTTCAGTATATCATGGATGCCAAAAAAATCCCCAAACTAATCTGTCTTAGCAGAAGTGTAGTCAGAGTGTTTCTTGGAAGTAAAGATAGAAAAACTATCTCACATACTTTTGCTATATTATGAGGAGGGACCAAGTCCTCAGAGAAGGACATTATACTTGGACAAGAAGAGGATCTGTGGAGAGTTAAGACTCTTAAAGAAATGAATTGCCACCAGTGAATGCAACAAGAGGTCTGAGCACAGCAGGATTTTGTGGGTGATGCAGGAGTACACAAAGGTTAGTAGGAGTCAGAATTAACTCCAAAACACCAAACTACAACAAAGTGGTGTACATGTATCCCCTCTTCTTAAAATAAATTTCAAGTGAGTATCATATTCAAACTCATTGCCATTAGGTCTGAAGTGGCTCAAGAACTGAACCTACAGCACATCTTCAGAGGCCATAAAATGCATGGGAGAGGATTGCTTTATCTTACTCTTACAGAGCTGCTAATAGATTCAAACCCCAGAGAACATAAATTCCTTTCAAAAGACACATCTAGCAAGTATAAAACTGCTTTTCATGATCATTCTGTTTGTGATCTGCAGATTCTATATTTCCAAAATGGTCATGGCTTAGATCCCTCTATGCCTACAACTCTGCTTAGTTTTTAAAACTTGTGGGATCTTAATAAATCACTGGGTATGACTGATGGATTTTGTCTACTCAGAGGCACCTTGGAAGGAGGACCTGGAGATGCACTTTAGAAAAAAATCAGCCATGGAAAACCCTGTAGCACAACTGTACTGACACACATGAGAACAACAGGAGTCAAAGTCAGCTGGAAGGTAACAGGTTTGACAGTCCCTGACCTAAGACTGGATTCTGCTCCAAAATACTGCTCTACATGGGTTCTGATTTCAGGAATGTAGCTCAGTGTTGTTTTTGTTTTCATAATTCTTGCCTTTTGTTACCAGTATCTTTACAAATCCAGGTATGTTCTAAACAGTAAATCATAAAAATGGAAGATCAGCAAGTGAGCCTCTGGAAATAATAACATCAACTACTTTCAAGCTGCAATATATTGTTAACAGGAAGCTGTGCCCAAAACAAAAAGAGGCTGGTTTTAAGTCTGGCTCACTGTAACCTGAACATATCCTAATGTTGGTAACCAACCTGGGGAGAAAATAACTGCCTAAATGTTGTGGTTTTCCTCATAGGACCATACAGAGGTTTTTATTTTGCTCGATCCTAGGAAACACTCCATGTAAAAACAACAAAGTATAGTAAAGAAAAATAAATTATTACCTAGAGTATACATATCTCCTGTGTTGGAGTTTGTTAAAAATGGCAAAAAGTCTTCCACATGGCTTTGCATATATTCAGCAGTCTGGCTTCTTAAGGCAGCCACAGTCAGGGGGCAATCCTGTTCCTTCAGTTGATCTTCAATAGCTCTATACATGCAGTGGCCATCAGACGGAATCTGTTTAATTTCCAACTGCCTGGCTGCCAATATTTGAGCAAGTTTTTGACCTTCTAGGTGTCTGGCTCCAGATAAGTTCTCAATTTCAGCTTCAGCTATCCTTTCTTCTCGCTCCCTTTCCAATGCAGCTTTTTTCTCCTAATAAAAGATTGAAAACATAGGCAAGTTAACTCATACAATCAGGGCTGACTATCATTTATTTTAAAAATTGAGTAGTTAGAGTCTCAAATCTTTTGGCCATTTTTCTCCCTTCTTGAACAAAGATTATCATACTGACCAGCACAACACTTATGGACATTGTAATTGTATGAAACCCTTTAAATGCAAACTATCTTACTCTTATGTTCTCAGCATCTGGCACTGTACCCGATACAAGAAAAGTCCTCAAACTTTTTCTGAAGTCTGCCTAAAACTACAAGTTACTTATTTCAAATTGTGGGCTGAATGACAATTTTTCCCCCCTAAAACTTACAGTACATCATCATATTCAAGCCCATCTGAAGCCATGCTTCCTAGCTTGCCCTTTTGTAAGAAGCTGTGCTGAAATCCCAAAGGCATGCCGTTCAAATTCACCAGCTGCTCCGTGGGAGAAGGAGGGCAACCTCCTCCCATGTGATTCATTGCCTCTGAAAACCTGCTGGAGGGTCAGTGATAGGTTGGTTCCAACTCAACAGCATATGACAACCATGCTAAAGGTTTAGAAGGAGAGATGCAGACTTTTAACGCTGCTTGCGAAATAGATGCACACATATTTATTTAAATACAAACTCTTCTTTTATAAAAAAAAAAAATTGATGTATACTAAAGTTCTTCTACAGACCTCTTCCAGTGCCATCTCCAGTAGGAAAATTTGTGTATATATCCTTTAGGGGTTTGTTTTTCTCTGTACTTTTATTAATTAAATGATCTTCCTTATTCAAAAGCCTTAATTAAATAAAAGTTTTAATGTTCTAAAGACTAATCTGCTTTGAATTTTTGTTGACATTTTTCCATAATAAAATATATCGTGAATAAATTTATATATATATATATATTTTTTAGTAAGTATGGATTTGATACTACCAATGGGATATACATTCCCAAGGGATCTCTTGTAGTAGGGATGGGAATGAGGTCCATTTTTATTAGATTTATCCAGTTATAAATGCCACCAATAGGGGGCAGCATGCACTAAAAGTGGGATGGGGGTTTCCAAATAAACTTCAGCAGTTAAACATGTAGGTTGGCACTGTATGATTCACAGGTCATGAAAGAGTTAGATTCCCTACAACCTTGTTTGCTAAACCTGATGCACTTGCTGCAGAAGGTCAAGGACTGCAGCCTTCCACGCAGATTGAAGCTCAACATCAAGAAAACAGATTCTCTCTCACCACTAGGCAGACTGGCAACATCATGATAGTAAGTGAAGAGATTGAGAATGTTAATAGCTTTAGTTTGCTTGGCTCCACAATTAACACTCTTGGTACCAGCAGCAAGGAAATTATAAGACAAATTGTATTAGGAAAGTCTGCAGTAGGTCGAGACCTCTCCAGAGTACTGAAAAGCAAAGATGTCAATCTGGAGACTAAAGTGCATTTGATCCAGTCCATAGTCTTTGCAATTACTTTCTATGAGCCAGAAGTTAGACAATACTAGGGAAGAGAGAAGGAGAATTGATGCCTTTGAACTGTGGTGCTGGAGAAGGGTATTGACTATATCATGGACTGCTAGGAGAACAAATAGGTTTGTCCTAGAGAAGGTGAAAACAGGCTGGTCTTTGGAGGCAAGGATTCTGATGCTCCTCCATCTGACATACTCTGGACATGTTGCAAGGAGGGATGAGTCCTTGGAGAGCGACATTATGCTTGGGAGGGTGGAGGGACAGCCCAAGAGAGGAAGACTCTCAATGAGATGGACTGACTCAGTGACTAGGGTAACGAGGGTAAGTGTGTCAGGGAACAATAAAGTTGGTTCAGTATAGAGCAAGGTTCACAGTTGTTATACACAGGGTCGCTATGAGTCACAAACTACCTGATGGCACATAAAACCAACAACCATATACAATAATGAGGTTAGGAGAGGACAGATTTTTGAAACAAAATAGATGTTGCTATTAAGTGCAATGGAACTGAATTCAACTTAAAGCAACCCTGCCACACAGGCACAGGGTTTTGTTGGCTATAATTTTTACATAAGTAAAATTGTCAGGTCTTACTTCTTTACTGCTGACTGGTTTAAGTCAAAAGGACAGAAAGAAGGTGGAAGAGAAAAAAAAAATCTCAATACTGGACCAACAATAATCAAAAGCCATCATAGCTGAAAACAGTACAAATTAAGTAGAAGAGAAAAAGTCTAGAGATTATATATTTAACATACCATATTTATTACGTATTTATATATATTAAAATATTACATGTAAATAAATCACGTGTTATTTGAATCACACAGGAGACTTTCTCCCACAGGGTAGCTGATGAATTCAAACCATGTGCCTTTGAGGTGACAACCAACTTCATAAATTATATATGGGGGTGTGTGTGTGTGTGTGTGTATAATAATATCTAGGAATAATTTTAAAATAAATTAGATAATCATAAAATACAGTGTTTTTCTCTAGATGGTAGGATCATGGATAAATTTTAATGTTTTCCAGTATCTAATTTCCCACTATGAACATAGTTTAATCACAAACTTGAGGGGTGGGAGTTCTTTTCTCTTGAAGAAGGTTGGTTTTAATGTCAGACGATAAAAATATTAAAACAAAATTCTGTAAGCTGTGCTATTGGCAGCAAATTACAGTGAAGGGTTTGGTAATTCAAGGAAAAAGGGTGTGAAAAAGTAAAGACATTTAATGTCACTATCATTAACTCCTCCTTTAAACGAGAAGTGAATGAGAAGGCACGTTTCAATTAACGGCAATGACAAATATATTTGTACCCTCTTGTGGGTCATACTTAGATGAACCTAAAATGATTTCTAAATCTTCTGAGCCAAATGCAAAAGAAAATAAAAGCCTGTCAAGATTCTTCTGACCAAACATCCCAGAATTAATAGGAATATTTTTCTTCCACAGCCTATCAACAACTGAGAATCACAGAGGATTAACTTTGAAAACACAAGATGGCACTGTTCGTTTATAAAGGAAGACTAAAAACAGTTTTAGAGGGGAGAGGAAAAATAAGCACCTTAGGTATCAACTAATCTAAAACCCTTCATTTTCCTCTTCTGAGGAAAAGCATGCAGAAAGATTTCCAAGGGCCATCTTGGTTAGAAGGAGAGCAGGGGTCAAGGGCTACAGAGCTGTTTCTATCCAGGCACCTGAATCAGAGTCAAAGCAGGTGGGAGGTAGAGGGTTAATGATGGCATGCACTATTTACTAAGAGTGGAGTTTATTCTAACTGAAAAACTTCTAAGCTACTCATCATTTTCATTTTTCCTCATGCTTTACTCAAATATTAGAAAATTATTTTAATCTCTAGGGCTCTAGGTAGAAAATCCCAAAGACTCTTTTTCAGTTTGGTATAGTTTCCTGATGGCACCAGACCACTGTGACTAGTTCAACCATAGCACTGGGAGTAGAATGTCACCAATAAAATCTAATCAAATATGAAAGAAGGACATAGGAAATACATCATTGATAAAACTAGAGACATGGTGATAGAGCAAAAAGAAAGCTGAAAAAAAATTTAAAAGAAAAGGAGACTAGTCCTGGACTTGTACATACATTCTATCATAACATTCTATCACTAAGCCAATCTGAGACTCCAAATTGCCTATTTATAATTGTACAAAACAATGAAAGTGAGTAAGATACTAGTCTAACTCTCAAATTTCCTATTTCTGGACACGAGTTCTTCTAAGTTATATTCTACCATCCCAATGAGTTTCTACTGAAGTTCTCTGAATAATATTTACTATTTTAACTAGACGAAAAATAAAGATTTGCTATAATCATCCAAAATGACACTTCAATAATTTATTTTCACAAAGTTTAATCATGTGTTTCATTCAGATTGCAGCTTTCCAAACCACAAACACTACAAGCTAGCTGCCTTTCAGTTTCTTAGTGTTTTTGTCCAAAAAAGTTCCAAACATTCATATTCTCAATTTTCTACCCTGAACTCAGGTTCCATTTCCTGCAGTACTATGTAAGCTTACAGCTCCATAATATAAAATAGTAAGAATTTCAGGGCATTATTTTCTAGAGTATATTTTCTGCACTGTGTTCCAGCAGCTGACTATGAAATACACGAAATCTTCACAGGTTACATTGGAAGAATATATGTGAAGAAGGTATTATATTTGAAGAGAGTATTAATTCATCTTTGGAGGATTTTAGATTATATCAAAATGTTTAAGAAAGATGTTGTTGACCCAGAAACCATGGTCTTAGCTAATGGACTATCTGATATAATAATTAAAATTATGAGGAATATGGTCACTATTTTGAGAAACAAATGTTCTGCAGTCCATAGTCCTAGAATTACTCGTCATGGTTCTGTTACAAGCATAGTAAAGAGAAATCCAAGATACTTCCTTTAATTCACTATCTCGTAAACATTTTTTTGTCCTTTCACTTTTTATAACAATATCAATGTTCTATTCAAAATATTTGGTAGCATGTTATGAGTTCTTACTAAGAATATTCTTTTATATAACCAAAATGTCATTCTCAAGTTTAGGAATTTTAATACTAATACAATTAGTACAATTCTTTTTTAATGCCCATATTTCAGTTTTACCAATTTCTTTAATAATGTTTTATATAGTTTTGTTCCCCCCCCCAGCTCTGTATCTAATTCAGAATTGTGCATTACATTTAATTGTCATGTTATTTTAGTTCCCTTTACTATGGAAAAAAAAATAATCTATTGACTTTTAACTTGGCACATGAACTCTTCAAGTAAGGATTACAGTTCCCTCTCTTCACTGTATCAGAGTGTAGCCTTGTGACCAAGTTCTGTTCATTAGTATGTAAAGAGAAGCGTTTGTCAGGTATTTCTTAATTGTATGTGCTTTTTTAAAAGACAAATTGTATGTGTTTGTTATCTTTTATTATTCCTTTTTCCACTTTGCTGCTTAAAATGTGAAGTGATGTTTGGAGCTTTATTTTCATCCATAAACATGTGACACGTGCCCTACGGAAACAATAAAGCACC